GGTTATCTCTAGGTATCTGTATGCCATGTCTGCTGTAGCTCCTTGCTCCTGAGTGGGGTCTGTGTGGAAACAACTGTGTGGCCCGTGCCAGCTCAGGGTGGAACAAGGTTGTGATCATCTCCACCCTGAGCTAGAGGCACCAGGGATCATTCAGCAGGCAACTCATCCAGGGCCTCTCACCCACCCCAGGCCAGATTCAAGAACTTCTCAGCCTGGCAGTTGTGATCATTTAGGATTTCTGCCCAGAAGTGGCTGTGGTTTGGAGCGCAGACTCTTGGGAATGGGAGGCTGGTGTCTTGGTGCCTTCATTTTACACTCAACTCCACGAGTGACAGACAGAGCTTTTTTGTTAACCTCGCTCCTCTCTCTGGTTGGGGTTTTATTTATCTGCTTGCTTCACTTTGTGTTAAGTAAGGGTCCCACTCTGTAGCCCAGGCTGACCTCAAAGGCGCTATGTAGACTTAAAGCAACTGATCAGATTGTATGCACAGGAGGCTGGGGTTGCAGGAATGGGTCACCGTATCCCCATGCCTCCTATGTCTGATACAGCTGTTACCCTCTCCCTATCTCTCAAGCTTAGACTCCCCAAATCACCATTGATTTACTCTCCCCCTCACCCATATTCTCACCCACAGGACACATCCTCCCATCTGTTCCTTGGTGCCAGTCCCCCCGATGCCCATCTCTGTTGTAGTTGAGTTGTTCATTATGGCTCTGCCAGACCATGGTAATATACTCCCAATTATTCTCCCAGCTTCACGCCTTCCTCTGCTCCACTCCTCAGTCACTGCCACCCAGTTACTCAAAGTGCCGTTTGCATCATGCCAAGCTTGTGGCCTACTGTCAACAGCTTCTCTTATCGGAGATACTCGAGATCTTTGTGTCCTCAACTCACTTTTGCACACTTGCACACTCACTTTTGCACACTTGAACTACATATAGCACATGCAGTCCTTTAGCTGAGTTAAAACACTCCTTGTCGCTGATACGTGTTTTGTGCTTACATTTCACTCTTTTGTCTGAAGTGATTTCATAGAACCTAAAATGCTTTCACAAGCCTGAAAATCGTCTCCAGCCGGAAACTCTGACCCTTCTGAACAGTTAGCGTGGTGCCTCCTTCAGGGAATCCTCTACACCAACCTGGGCTCTGCGGTGACTGTGAAAGAGACGCAATCCAGCTTTGCCATTCGAGTACAGTGTAGCAGAAAGCTCAGAGCTCGCTGCTTGGAGGCTTGGGGTACAGGAAGCAAGCATGCCCTCTCGCCTTTGTACACCCACGACTATAATGGGCTCTCTGCGCCTGCCTGTGGGATCTGACGAATCAGTGACTCTGTTGTGTAAACAGAAAGCCCAGCACACCTGGAACTGTCCTGCGTCATCCCCTTGCCTCCTCTCAGTTCACCTAACAAAACAGCCTGCTGCTTTTCAGACCCAAGCCCAGCAGACACCTGTATCGTCATTATCAACACCGACACAGACTCATCTTGCATTTTCTACTAAGGTCTAACGTGCTGTATTCTGGGCGTTTGGAATAATCTCAAAGGGAACACCTGTTACTTAAGCGTTCTTATTTGCAACCTCTGGAGGGCAATTTATCCATTACTATATTAAAGTGGGTTGTTTAATAACTTATAACTGTCAGAGAAGAAAGGTAAATTATAGTCACTGTGATCAAACTGGATACCTAAAAGCCATGTATTTTTCCACCTGCAATTCTTTAATTTTTCCCCCCAATTTCAATCCTGTTTTTTAGGACCAACTAAGAAACGCGACGTAAAACAGTGAAAGTGAAGGAGATTTAGTTTTGCTCCCAGACTCCTCTTCAACCTTAGTATCTCATTATATAGTCTACTCTTGACTTCAGGATGCCGTTTCATCATCATAATTGTGTAAGTGGCTTTAATGCCTTTTTCTTTCTCACGTGATTAAGATCATTAACCTAATTACCCAATAATTAAATTTTTGAAACTCTGCATGATAGAATTTTATTCTTCTGAAGAAAAAGGAGCACTAACTGGATTTGAGCAAGACACACTTTTAACTCTCTGGGCTTATAAAGAATCAAGAAGGATGGTTATATTTTTACATAGAGACTTCAAGATGTTTACAGACAGAAGAATTAATGCGTCAGAATTATAGGCAAATGTGGGACTGGAGAGATGGCTCGGCAGCTAAGAACCCTGATCTTCTAGAGGACAGGGGTTCGGTTCTCAGCATTCACATGACAGATGGCAAACATCTGAACGTCTAGATCCAGGACATCCAATGCCATTTTCTGGCCTCTGTGGGCACTGCACGTATGTTCTGCACAGGCACATGCAGGCAGAACACCCATGAACATAAACTAACTTTTATTAAAGTTAGACCTTGGAAGGACCAGTCTTCTTTTTGAGACATCTGTAAGTGCAGAGACGGGAAAGGATGGGGAAAATGCTAGAACAGGCAAAGGGGGCAGCAGCAATTCAGGTCTGCGAAACTCACCTGGGGGAACAAAGCACAGAGCTCTGGCTAGGGTAGGATATGATTGGCTGTCATCAATGACACTTAAGGGACTCTTCAGAATAGAAGGACATCTATTTACATATTCCTTAAATGTAACGTTGGCTCAAAAAGCAGTTGCTTTGAAGGCGGAGCTTGGATCAGGGAAAGATTAGACTGCTCACACGTGCTCAGTCTCAGATGAGGGGAACACTTGAAAGGAGGGAGACAAGAATACAGACAAACCAGATACCACCACCACCATCACCACAGATGGTTGCCATTCATTAAATAATTGCCACGTGCCAGGTACAGTCTTAGGAGCTTTGGTGCAGCTTCTGATTTCCTGTCCACAGAACAGCCTTTGCCAGATAGGGGCATTGTTGCCACTTTGTGAGTGGAGAAATGGAGACAGTGAGATTAATTCTCTTTAGGCTCAACTAATGATGATGATAACGTATTGACACAAAAGGGGGAAAAAGCAGTTTCACCAGAGAGCATCATAAGTAAAAATGAAAGAAGACACGAACAACTAAAAGCACACAACTACAGAGCAGAAGTCAACGGCAAAGTCAATAACAATAACAGCAGCCACAACAAGAGATTCCTCGCCCAAAACAGGGGAAACTAAAGTGACCCAAGATCTTGGGCTCCCTGTAGCACCTTCCACCTACCTTCCCTTCTCAGCTCTCCAACAAGCTTGTCTTATTTATAGCCACTGTCACTGCCCTGGGGGAAACGGGAAAAGAAAAAGCTCCCTTCTCCCTTGTCAGTTTCCAAATACAAAGAGGCAACTTGCTTTCCACCCTGGCTGCAGAGTGAGGGCTGAGCTCGCAGGGAGCCACAGCCACTGAAAACCAGATTGGCCCTGCCTGTCACGGCCTCCACAGTCCCAATCCGAGGCCTCAGCAAGGCAGGCTGAGGGTGCCAAGAACTCTGGGCTTGAAAGTGCTGTGTATGAACAATATCCAGTGAAAGTTATGAGCTGAAAGAGAACAGTTTTTAAAAAGCCATAGAAATAGGAGAAAATCAATTATGGATGAATAAGAATTGTAAAGGCAATAAAAAGACGACTACCCAGGGTTGCATGAGTGTCCTCCAGTTCAGGAGGGTCTTTTGTAGCTCACACATACAACATGGGTGTGGAAAGAGAGGAAAAAGATGTGTGATCTTACAGGCTCTTCAACACATCAATTACTAAATGTTTTCATTTCTTCCCATGACTTTTTAGGACCATAGAGAAATTGACATTTATTGAAAATCATAACTAGGTTGCTGATCCTCAACTTGTCAAGGTCTTTAAGAAGAACATAGTGAATAACAAAAGATTTACAAAATAAAACACTTTCCCAGGATCTCCTTAACGTTAAAGGGTCATATTGACAGACATGTTACAAATATATGAGACTTCAGTTTAGCTCAGTTCAGCTGGTTTATGTAAAATTATAAACTTGCAGGTGAAACAGAGGAAAAAATGCAAAAAAAGTCCTTCCCACAATTTTTGCTACTGTACTCAATGGCATCCAAACTCTAGAGAAACATATGTCTCCATGAGACAAAGATATAGACATAAAACAACCATAGAAGCAAGGGTGAGAACTTTCAATTCTTAGGAACTCGGAGAAAGTCTCACAGAGAGTGACACCCGGCTCTGCCCCTCAGGGACCGACAGAATGAGAACTTTCAGATTCAACAATCTCGTATCAAGTTCAAATCACTGTCAAAATGAAGTCAGAAAAATCACACAGCAACACGCTGGGCTTGCCTTTCCACTTGAATCTAGCATGTTTGCTGTGCCTATTGCCTTGGGAATTGCAAAAAAAAAAAAAAAAAAAAAAAAAAAAAAAAAAAAAAAACTATACCAATGGGGTATTCTACAAACTGAAAACCTGCTTGCCCACCTCCATCTAAAGCTGACTGCTGTGTCCAGGCTTAAAGATGACTGAGTCCCTTTATTTGTCCAGCCTCTCTAAACTCCACTGAAGCAGACATGAAGAAGAGCCGAATGGGCCAGAGAGTCAGTCTGTCCCATCTTTCCTGTCTTGGAACTCGTGCAAATTTACTAGAGAAAAGGTAGGCATCCCCGAGTTAGGTACTCTGTTCACCTTCTAACCTTGAAATAGAGTTTGGAATATCATCATCACCCCACCCCCTGGCAAACCCCAGAGACACAAAACACCCATTTTCTTCAGGATCACTGGGGTTCTAGAAGATAATCTTCTTTCTAGCAGTTCACAGATGCATTTAAACCATAAGACCTGTTCTTAGGGATAGTATCTTGACAGAGATACACGTGGAGTTACTGAGTGATACAGAATTTTCCCATAAGCCATTGTGTTAGGAAAAGACCATTCCATCAAAGATAATATCACTCTCTAAACTCTGGAAGGAACTCAAATAGCAAGACTATATTGCAAAGGGTCTAAATAAAAGTGGTCCTGGTTGTCCACTTTTATTTAGTGATGAGGGGAGGTTCGGATGCCAGGCTGGGGCTGGGGACCAGAGGACAAGCAGAGCCCTACCTGATAAGCATCAGGAATGTTGACTGTCTCTCCGTGCTCCCCAACATAGCCAATGATGCCTTTGCCCCAGGGGACCTGCACCTCGTTTGAGTTCTCTGTGCTGCTGCACGGGAGGAGTGGGGTTCCCGCGTGCACATCAAAAAATTTGGAGACCAAACTCTTCTTGCCAGCAGCTGCCCCCTCCACTAAGAAGAGAGAGCAACGGTCAGCGTCCACCATGAGACAGACAAAGATGAGGATCTTGTAGCTTAGGCTGGTGAGGTCAAGGTCATTGGAGATGTCCTTGACCAGTTCCAGAAAAAACTGGCGTTCGTTGTGCTTTTTGAGGTGGCATTTGTAGTCGATGGCCGTAGGGGGGTACTGAGGCAGATTCACCCTCGATTCCAGCAGGGCGCTGAGAATGTGGGCTGTGGTGGGGGGCAGAGAGCTGGCCTTCCTGAGCAGGGCTCTCCGCCGGACACTGCTCATGGGCTCCTGGGCCCGGGAGGTCACCTGTTCATCGTAGGTCCTGTTCACATGAATGGCTTTGGAGCGGGCAAAGCTCTTCCGCAGCTCTTTCTGCGAAGCTTTCCGCTGCAGGTTCCCATCGCCCCGGCTGCCACTGGCCCAGCTGGGGCTCAGGGGAACCCCAGCACTTTCCCCACCACTGGGCATGGGATGGCTGTTAGCAGAGCCCTGTGGTCCAGCAACCCCAGCATTCCCAGTGCTGCCTCTGCCACTACCCGGAGCCAAGCTGCCAGTGCCAGCCAGGGTAGGCTTCAAGCCTGAAGCCCCCTGTCCCGGACTGTGCCTTTGTAGCCACTTGTCCACCAGCTCCTGCTTCCCTTTCCGCATCAAATAGTCTTCCAACAACTCTGGATGCCTATCCAGAAAAGTTTCCACCTCCCCGAAGTCCAGGCTGGAGGCTGCCATGGTCCAAGGCGCCCCTTGCCTTGTCTCTCTGCTCTTGGACCACACGATAACCTGTCCGGAGGCCTCTAGCTGTTGCTGCACATGTTTGTCCACACCGGTGTCCCCAGCTCAGTGCTACCTCCCTGAGGGCCAGCAGGAGGTTGATAGGAACAGCAGGATCCCAGCTGGGTGGTGCCAACTTCTTCCGAGGTTCAGAGCCGCTGTCACCCACCCTACCCTTGCTCCTCTTGCTCCGGACAGGTGCCGGCCCGGCCCAGAGCGCCGACCGCTGCCACCGCTGCTTTCCCGGGCGGCTCGCACCACCGCTGCTCCAGCTCCCGCAAGCCGCCGCTCCGCCCGCCGCTGGAGCCGGCAGAGTGGACCACTGTGTGCCGAAGGTAGGCAGGACACGCCCCGGAGTGAGGCTCCGAGACTGCTGGGGGTAGGAGGAGAGGGGCAGATGGGGCGCACAGCAGCCAAAGTCCACGGCCCAGGGTGCCAGGCGGTTCCTGGAAGAGTCTCTGCGCAGCTCCGAGTGGGGAACGCACCTAGATGCCCCCCCCCCACGCCCCGCACGCCGCCCTAACAGCCTCACCTCCCCAGCCCGCCCCGCTCCGCCCCCTAATCCTTCAGCTTTTCAGAAGGCCTCTGGGGAGCCCAGTGGGAGTCCACGTACTGAGAAATATTGATGATCTGTGAGGATCAGAACCCAAAGTGCACTCCGAAGAAATGAGAGTCCCCAGTGCCAGCCCGGGTTTTATTTTTCTGGGATGAGACTGTACTTTTAGTTTGCTCGGTTCCTCCGACTGCCCAGCACTCTGTGGGCGTGCAGTAAATTTTAATCAAACTAGTTTCCTTGAAGTTCCCTGTGTAAGAGATTCTTGAATTTAACGAAACTCGGAGATCCTTACCCCCTCCCTTCTCTCGGTGATGGAGGGGAGCTGTACTTTGAATGAGGGTGTAAAACTCAGTTACCCTGATTTAGGGAGACCCCTTGGAGCAGGGGCTCGTGGACCCGTGGGCGTAAGCATCCTTTTCTGCTGTGCACTAGATCCATTGATTCTCTTCCTCTCACCAAAGAGTCCTTACCTCTTCCTTCTCTCTCAAAAGTCACAACGTCTTGGGGCTTCCGCACCAAGATGTCTGCTGTAACAGGTTCCTCTTGGCCCTGCTCTGGCAGTTCTTTGGATCTGGTTCGTCATGCTAACAAAAGATTTCGCATTGGCATCTTAAAGAGGATCGGGGTAATGATGATGCTTTCTTTCCTGAAGGAGAGATACCTCTGCTCCTGCGGGAACAGGCAAATGCAGAACCCGGGCCACTTCCAGAATAGGAGACCCTTCCAGAATGCTCGAGGTGAGAGTGAGAGCCGCAAAGGAGGCAAGCAGCGATTCCCGGAGGCTCCAAGTGGCAGCCCAATGAAGATGTCTTCTGTGAGTGGACATCAGAGCTGAGTAGGCAAGGTGTATCAAACCTTACATTAGCATAGGAATTAAGTTCTTTCAAGAGTCTTATGGCACAGAGGCTTATTTCTCTTTTTTAAAGATAGAAAATGCTGGGAAACTAAGTAAATGAACCCAGGACTCACAGCATATTCATGGATTGTGTGTTTGGTGCTCACAGGGTGAAGGAAAACAAAGAAAACACACAGGACACCAGAATGTCGCTGATAGGTGACATGAAGAGCAAAGGTTAGAAAAGGACTGGATAAAGGGAAGAGGTGAGGAGGATGTCCTTTTGCGGAGGGGGCAGCTCAGCAGAAACCTATAAAAATGAGGTGTGTTACAGCTTGAATAACAAACAGCCTACCAGGCCGGAGAAGCACGCTCCAACATTGTGAGAAGGAACAGGTTGGAGTATCTGCGAAACAGCATGAAACCAGCTACAGGCAGAGAGCCAGAAGCAGAATGCTGGTAGTTAGGAGTTGACAGCTGCCAAGAAAGTAAGTGGTGATGAAGAATTAAAGAAAAAAAATGTTTTGCACAGTGCCCAGATCATAGGAAGTGCTTAATAGACAGTAGCTATTCTGCTGGTGTAATTTGTATCGATCTTTATTTGTAGCATCGGTGGTGTGTGGAAACCTCACTGCCTACAGTCGCATCTCTGGTCACTTCAGTGACATGTCAGGGGGGATGGTTAATGGCTTGCTAGAACTGGCTAATAGGGGCTTACAAGAGCCTATTTTAGCCTATGTTTCCAACGAATGTCCGCTTTCAGCATACAGCTTACAGTTAGCCGTGATGGAAATGTGTGTGCAGTCCACAAATGTTCCAAGACTGGATTTGAGAGTGTGAGCCAGTCAGTCGTTCTCTGTCCATGTGTGTGTGTGTGTGTGTGTGTGTGTGTGTGTGTGTGAGAGAGAGAGAGAGAGAGAGAGAGAGAGAGAGAGAGAGAGTTGTGTGTGCATGCGTGCATGTATGTGCTTGGGTGTGTGTGATATGTGGGTGCCATGGCGTGTGTGGAGAGCAGAGGACATCCTTTGGGTGCAGGGGTCTTACCTCTCCATCTTGCTTGAGATAGGTTCTTGTCACTGCTGTGAAAGTCAAGCTGGCTGGGCCACAAGCTTGTGGAGAGCCCTGCCTCCACCTACCATTCCCTGCAGGCCCTTGGGGTTACAGGTGCTCATGTTAGGGCAACCAGCTCAGTTAGGGGATCCAGGCTCAGTTCACCAGTTTGGGTGACAAGTGTTTTACACGTGGAGCCATCTCCCCACCTTCAGGAATTTTTTTTTCAAATTATTGGTTGTTTAATAGTTATTAGTAGTGGATGAAAACAATTGACTAATTACTTAATTAGTAGATAAAGTCCTATAATGAAATATTACCCTGCCACAAAAGGAACGAGGTACTGATACATAGACAATACAAAAAAATCATGAGAAGTCAAGACAGTCACCCACAAAGGTCACATTTGTATGATGCCATTTATAACAAAAGTTTAGAATAGGACACTCCATTAGGGACCGAAAATGGATTAATTTCTGAATGGGAAGGAAGAAGAATGCCTGAGCTAAGTGTGGGGAATTTTGGGGTTTTGTTTGTTTGTTTGTGAGGAGTCGGGTAAGGAGAATGTCCTAACACCCATGTCCTGCCATCATTAACCCATGATTACTGTTCTGTGGTGCCCGAGATGAACCTAGGACCTAACACACACCAGGCAAGCACTCTACCTCTGAATTCTGCCCCTTGCCGTCTTTTGTTTTTCCTTTGCAGATAGGCTCTCACTAATTTGCCCAGGCTGGCCTTGAGTTCACTCTGTATCCCAGGCAAGCCTAAAAATTACAGTCCTCCCATATCCGCCTCCCAAGTATCTGGAATTACAGGACTGTCCCATCCCTCTCCGAGGCTGGGCCGTACTGTAAACTTTAAATGAGGGAATTATACCTCAATAAAATTTTTGCATACCCAAGCCCCCTTTACTAGCATACTCCTGGCCATACTACATAGTACTACTGCACATGCAGGCAATACAGGCCCCAAGCATCCTCAGAGACAGGAGCACAAATCAGTCCTGGGATGCCTAAGGCAGAAGTTTAATAAATAGCCTTCTTGACATACTCATTACGTATGCAGTTTTATCATTCGCCAGTCTCTGTAGGCAAAGATGGAGATAAAAACTCTGGTTTTGCTATAGCGTATATATTTCCAGTGTGGCAAGACTCGTGTCATGATTGCCTTAACCCTTTCTAAGCCCAACCCAGTGGCACCAACTATATTCACAGTGTTGCGCAGCCAACCACCGCCCAGCCAATCGCTTTTTGATCTTGCACACTGAATCCAAAACCTCTGATTTAGATCTTGGATCTCTTTTGCAAAACAAGAGGCGGGTGCTGAGAATTCTGATAAGAGTAAGACAAGCCATAAAAGAGATGGGGTGGGGGGAGGTGAATTTGGCATTTCTGGTCTGGTTTTGAATTGGCTGTTGTCTGTGTTCCCTGCTTGGCACATGAAGTCACGGTAACACTGAAGCGTTGTGTGGAGGTAGGAAACGGGCAGGCTTGAGAACGCTGTGACAGAAGGCTGCATAATAAGCTAGTGTTGGTATGGTCCAAGCGTCATCCTCGCTTCTTTTCACAAAGTTAGAGTCCCGACAGGAGACAGAACCCACTCAAATCAAAATGATTCTAAGAGAACTGAATTAGAAAGGCTAACTTAAAAAGTAGATTATAGAGAAATCCCAGGAATAGTGAAGGAAACCTATAGACACAACACTAGACAGTCACCACCCTGATCGTAGGATAGAAAGAAAGGTTACCAGGACCCAGGAGACACACTTGCAAAGTGATCAGTACCTGGAAGGATGCAGTGACAGCCGCCATGAGACACTGAGAACTCAACCCTACCTCAGAGGAGGGATCGCAGGAAAAAATACCTTGAGTTCATTTTTGCCTCTCCCTCCTGTCAGTGACCAGACCTAACTAGAAGTTGGAAGATGTTGGAACCTATTGACGGAACCCAAAAAGGTCATCTTACCTAGGCAGAAAGTAGGGGAAACCAAACAGGAATTGCATCGGATCTGGAGCAGAAAAAGGAAAGTGCTCAACTCTACGTGGAACCTCGAAGATGTCCCAGTAAGAAATAAAACCCAACTGCATTTCCCCTTTGGAAATAACTCAAATGATTTTCTGTGTAGCTCTGCCCTCTTCTGCTCATCTGCTAATTCCATCAGCGCTGTTATGATTCACTCTACAGCAGCAGTTGCTGACTACAGAACACCCCCCTGAATATAAGCAGTCACGTCGAAGGGATAGGACACTGTGAAACTAGATAGGCTAGTACAAAGACTTTGCATAGTCAGTAGAATCCCCTAGGGACTACCATACCTGAAAATGCAAGATACTTCAAACATCCCGCTAATCTGCTACCAATCTCTTGAATCTCAGGGAACTCCTATCTCCATAACGGTTTCATCCTCTAATGCAGACGTCACTGGATTTTATTCTGTGACCTCTGGATCATGAAGCACAGGCGGCGGCTGAAGCATAAGGTACTTATTTGCTTAGTGCGATGGTTTCTCTATGTCCTACAGATGTGCTGGTTAACCCTTGGCTCTTCGGTTCCTCTTTGTAGTAGTTGAGTTGCTCAAGCGGCTGCATTCAGCGGGCTCTATTTCTATAAAGTGTTCATGCGGCTGCATTCAGCGGGCTCTATTTCTATAAAGTGTTCATCCAGCAGGTCTTCTACATGACTTCCCTCTAGGTGGGAAAACTTCAATATCGGTCCCTTATGGCAGCTGTATTTCAACTGGAGGCTCTATAACTCAAAGATTACATAGCTCAGACCAGTTAGCTGAGACAGAGGCAATAGTATGTTATGTGTACTTACAGGCGTTCTTTTCTTGGAGACGCCCCTTCCACAGTTGATCACACAAGCCCTCTACTGAATCCCAGACTCCTATTTCCAATGCCCCTAAATGTCAAATATTACTTAAATGTATCAAGGTCACCCTGATTTTACCTTAATCG